ATTTTGATTGGATGGAACTTTGCATCAAAGAGCGACTAATGTTGTTTAAGGACAGAGGTAAAGTGATTCTACACCCTCTCCATCGGTAGTTGAGAACACTTGCTTTTATGAACACCTAAATAATTTGTACCTCTAAGTACAAACCACTGCCTCCCCCTTCACCCCCAATGATATACACGCCATCTTCTACCATTTGTCAAGAAAACACAGCAAACAGTTGAGCCACGCTTCGCAAAACATCTTCCATAAAAGCCAGTCTTGAAGAAGATCTACAACTTCATAAAGCTTCTCTCTCAGAAATTTAAGCGTACACAGGGGATTTCAGGTATTTATCAGGCCTTCTACCTCAAAAAATTTCACTTTGAAGCATAGGAGAGAAATTTCCTTTAACCGAATCATGAAATCATTCTTTGAACATGAACGGGCCTTTGCAGAAAGCCAAAGTATGAATGCACACCAACTCTGGTGAGTCTATTTTGTGCCTAGTTTCAGTTTAACTTATACTTCGGCCATTAGAAGATTCAGTTAGCCAGAGGGATCTGTAATGCATTAGAAAGTATTGATAACACCTATTAATAGCTAAATTTTATAACTGAAACAATATATCCAACAGATTATAAGCAACCAAATGACCGAAAAGAGCAAGCATAACAAATGAAGAAGAGGCATTGGAAATCCAATCCAAGAATGTAAAAGTGACTTGCTTTCCAATAATCTTTACTAAAAGTTATTTTTTCATTTCAAATTGTACATCATAGTTCGTCTTTCAACCATCACAAGATAATGTCCCTTTGACTAAATTGAATAGATAATTTCTTTCTTTTAATGTTATATTAACTCAAAAGTTAAATTTTCACCACTTCTTACATGTTTAAACATACAGGACTTCCCAAAATCTAAACTGAATATTTAAAAGGTTTGTACATTTCTTTCTTGCAAACACTTAGAACCCTAGTTGGGTGAACATGCCATGTCCTGCCAAGATACTCAATATAAATACAGGGAGTAGATAAGTGAAACAAGAAGCTAGTTGGAAAATGATTTCACCTTTGTCAACGAATTGACCACTAGGTCTAAGATCCATTAATTGAAAAACCTTCTCACTTGCCCCAATAGACTGCATCAATGATGATAAATTGTCCCCCACCCACCATGTAGAATAAATCAACCATTCACTGTACAATATGAATTTTGTAAGTTGTTCTGCTGTAATATGACCAGCCAGAATAGACATTCCTCCTACCAGCACAGCAATAACCTAAAAGTCAAAGCACAAAATTGGACTTCACTTTAAATGATTAACTGAAAAACTTTCTTTCAAACAATTAGCAAAAAAGACTACTATTATTTGGGCTGATCTAAACACCAAGAGTAGAATCTGCAAATGATTATGAAAAAATATCTGATTGAAAATGAGAAGCATCTATTTCTTTCTATCCAAAACCATTGAAAGGAAATGGTTGTGTATGCTTCATTAGATGAAACTCGGAATTCCAGAAGTTTCTAAGTAAAAATATGCAAGTCATGGAAGTGCTAAATGATGTAGGGATGCATTTTCAGGGAATACTTGAGATGCTGTGAGCATTAGCCAAAAATATTGTTTACGAGGTTGCACTGACAGGAATATGAGTGTCATACACAAGGACAGGGTTGTATTTGACACATATACCTTTAATTTCAACTTTTAGCACAATTTTCCAGCTGCATTTGAAGGAGCTAGACGATTTACTTGTCTGATGGAACATGAAGGGTGACATAGGTCTACAAAGAGGAATTGATGCAAAAATATAAGGGGCAAGGTAAGAGAAATCAAGGTAAAACTTACAATTTGCAAGTATCAGGTTTAAGTTCTGCCCGGAGAATGTATCAACCAAGAGAAAAAGCAGTTGATAGCAAGAAGACTGGTCAAACAATCAACACCTCTCTAGAAAAGGAACCAAGCAATAGCGCAAACGTGTCACTCAAGAGACACAGTAGCATGCAGTGTAGCAAGGTGTCACCCACTGATATTTAAATAGTTTTTAACATTTGGGATTAAGCAGCATGCAGTTTAAGCAAGGTGTCACCCACTTATATATATATTGATAAATGATGCTGCATAAATACTTTTAAATAATGCAAAGGGCCGAATAATGAGGTGTAACGATGTCTAAATGTTGGGAAGCAAGGGCTAAAGAAGAGTGTGGTTTCCATGTGAAAGATCTTTCTGAAAATCCATCGATCATTTTCCTTCTAAGTAAATTTAAATTGATCTTGGAGAAAGCATTTCCTGTTATGTTTAGCTTCTGTATGACATTTGTTTTCAGAACATAGAGCTCCCGATTTTTGAAATGTCTTTCTTTCAAAGAGAGTTCCTCATTTATCAACCAACGAAAAAAGATGGAAGGTACAAAGGAGAAGAAAGATACTCCAGTGTTCAACGGTGGAAAGAGTTTGACCTGTGTTGAGTGATAGAGTGTGTTGAAGCTAAAGTTCCAATATCCATAAGCAGCACTTTGACGCAAGCTTATATCAGCTAACTTCCCTAGCCACCGTGCATACCTGTTCTAGAAGATGGTCATTTTCGAGCTCTTGTTAATACTGAGCACCTTGATATAATTATATTTTGCATATGTTCTATGCTTACTCCTGGCAGTGTTAAACAAAACACAAAGGGAATAAAATCCCTTCTGTTAAGTAGTACCTTCCCAGTTCTTGTTCCTCGGTTCCATACACTCGTACAGTCCTCATGAGGGAGAATGTCTCTTGGGCAACCTACATCACATCAAAGGATATGAAATCATTAAGAATTTAACTTATAACATCTTGGGAAAAAATGGACCAATTAACTTCTTAAGATTACTTCATTTGCAGAAGCAGTGTACTCCTGAATTAATTTAGCTGCTTTCTTCTGGTATCTATGAAAAGAAGGAGGCACAGAGAGAGAGAGAGAGTTAGAAGAAGTTCAGGAAATCATAAATTGCAATAATTCTCAAGTATAAGTTTTTTTCACCTACTTGAACAAAGTATTATGGTACTCATTTGCTACTAAGAGAATTAGCATAATATAGCAACTAATGAAAATGCGATTTAAAAGAAGAGAGACCAATTCTATAACTAGAGTTCACATGACTGTGGATGGGAAATTGGTTCAAAGACCAACTTGGCCCCTTTTTTAAAGATAACCAAGAGTGGCCTTATTCCAGCTTCAAAGCCTGATGAATAATGCCCCTCCCCACCCCCCACCCTTCTCTACTTAAATACCAGACTTGGTTCACGATCTAGAGTTCTGCACCTACCATACACCTTGTGTTGTAGTACCTTTGCTATTGGACCAAAACCCTGCGGCAACAAAGGCTAGCTTGGCCCTTGTCACTATTTGTATAATTTCCTAAAGTAAGAGATAAGTTCATCTCTTACTATAAATAAGTCAGTCCTTACATTATCAACTCAAAAAATTGGTGACCAAAAGTTTCAGTAAAACGGTTATCCTTGGAACTTCTCATTTTTAATAGATGTAAAACCATGCACGGTTTACTGTCACCTACGTCTATCCGGTAAATAAGATTCTAAGTTAATATACATCTGATTCATACAAGTAAAACAATGAGCAAAAACTTACTGGCCATACAACAGCATTATCGTGAGAAGTGCACAGCAGATAGCCAATGTGCACAATCCCAGTGGTGGGGACAAAATCAACAAATAAGCTAAAGCACCTGTTCCCTGGAAAGGACAAAAGTAAATTACCAACTCAAAAATGAATATCGGAACGCATTAGACATCTTAGGAAATCTTACCTGGAGAACATTACGCAAAATCAGATTTAGGTCATTTCCAATTACGCGAGAGACTTGTTGACAATCTGCCCCTAGCCTACTTGTCAAATCACCAACTGTTTCAGAATCAAAAAAGGATATATCCTACAAAGAGGGTAAGCAGAAATATATAAGGATCTGCGCTTCATATAGAAGCAATTTTGATGATGCTTTAGTTGTGTTTAAGCAAATAGAAATTCCTGAAACCTGAAGAAGAAGAGTGGAATACAATTTTTCCCTCATTCGCTGGACCTGCAAAAAAGATGAAGTGCAAGGCAATTAAACCATCTTTGTTTCTTGACGACTCTAACCTTTAAAAGATTATTTAAATGGTACTGATTTTATAGTGTCTGATAGAAGTAAAGATACAATACTAGATGTTTAGGCCAGTTCATGATAGACACCAGTATAACCCCAATAAAAAGACAATACAGAGTATATGTATATGATAACTGCATTGTTCTATTCTTCTAAAATGTGATGTAAGACTCACCAGGATCATATTTGCGAGCCCAAAAAAGCAACCTCGCACACCACTATTGGAGAAGCAGATGAACAAGTATGTATGTTAGGATACTCGCAAAAATGCAGGTAAGTAGGGTGACGGTGCAAAATAATACTAATGTGCATTATGTCCGTCTGAAATGATACAAAAACCTGCATATTCCGGAAATGATGCAGAGCACTACCAAGATGCGCACATTCCGGTGGAACACTGCGATACTGCTACTTTGCGCCGAAAAGATGGATGCTGTCAGAAAATGCGGGATACTAATTTCTGATAACTGATGCGAAGTAACTTCCAGTTAGTAATTATTTACTCCTACTATTTTCTTTGGTCCAATTTTGAAAGAAAGAAAAAAAACTGTTGGTTCACGTACAGCAGTAATAATGAGTGCAGTAAAAGCAGCAAAAATAAGCAAACCATCTTGAGCTATCAATTCCCACATTCGGTGAAGAGCACGCACAACAGTCACAGGCTTTGCCGTTATTCCAATATCATCCACATCAAGCCTCCACCAATTTCCACCCGGAAATACATTCCGAACAAATTCCATCCATTTCACCCCCAGCTTCTCACTAGAATCAGCTTCTTGTACGGAGTATCCATTAATTGAAGCCGAATTTAGGGGAGATATGTACCGATATCGCTGATTTATCGAATTGCTAGAGAAAGAGAATCGGGTTTTGGATTGAGACCTTTTGTGAAGAATGTTGTTTGGATTTTGCCTTTTCTGTACAGAATATACAATTCTTAATCCAGGTTGAAATTGCACACTTGACACAAGCAACGCCATATAGCAATAATGAATTAACAGAGCAGAGGAATTGAACTTTTAGTTTGAAGGCTCCAATTTTGTGGGAAATTGAACGAGATTTTACTTGTGAGGCTATGGGCTTCCCAAAACTACTACAACATGTGTTTTCCTTTGAAAAGAAGGGAACCACAATATAATATGATGACGTGCTTCTTTGAAGAACTAGTGTACTAAAAAGAATCAAATCAAAACATAGAGCCCCTTTGATTAACTCATAAGCTTGAAGTGTTTGAAAAAAAAAATTTAAGTGGAAAATTGATTTTTAAAATAAGTATTTACGTGTTTGGATAGAAGTGGTTAAACTGATATAAGCAAGTGTTTGATTAAAAAGTGCCGATAAGCTATTTTTTGTAAAAATGACTAAAATACCCTTGATTTTTTTTTTTTTGAAAACATTATAATTTAAATTTTTTTGTAAAGAAAAGAATTAACAACGAATATGGAATGAAGAGAAAGTCAAAAAAATTATTTTGGGAAAAGTATTTCGTGAATTAGAGAATATTATTAAGGATAAACTAGTAAAAGTGTTGGTCAAACAAAAAAATGCTTATAAGCTTAAAAGTCATAAGTTGGGGTGACCAGCTTATGACTTATGGTTGATTTTAGCTTATAAGCATTTTGGGTATTTACTAAATACGTAAATAAGTCAAAAAGTATTTATAAGTCAGTTTGACTTGCTTATAAGCTTAGCCAAACACCCTCATAGTTAAAAGAAAATGAGAGAAAGAAACAAACCAAATTACACTATATTTTGAGAAGAGAAGCAGAAAAAGATACAGAAAAATATTAACTTTTTTTGACACAACAAAAATAATATATTAAACATTACGGAGTACCAAAATATTAACTTTCACATACCTATATAAGGTAAAGAAATGGCAGGTTAAAAGGGGAAAAAATAAAAAGATGCGCATAGCCTTAAAATGAATTCTATGAATCTGGTCGAAAAAGAATTTCTGTGAATCTGGTTTACATTTAAAGATTATATGAAAGCAAATTTGCAAACAAAGAGTTCTAATTTTCTTGATACTTTTCTTCATTGAGTCAGAAAATGAAGAAAGAAACTTACCCGCACCGGGTGTTTACATCATGTTAAGTTAAGTTAACCATAAAAAAAAAAAATTAAGGTCTAGAGTCCTATTTTAATAAATAAAGAAATCAATGGTCGTCCAACTATAGAAAAAACTTACCTGCATTCGTCTTTCTTCTCCTTCTGCACGATATTCTACGAAAAAACTCAACCGAGAGTTTAATGGGAAGACAATTTCTTAGGTATTATTCAGTTTGTTATTTGTTAATGCGTGCTGAAAAACTTCTCCTGAGTTTTAGTTCAATTAGTAACCCTGTTTAGGCTATTATTGTCTTCACAAAAAAAATCGGTAAAATATAAATTAAAATTTTCTTTTCAAGATTAAGTTTGATAGCCTTTTCATGATTAGTCATAGTATAATTATGCAAAGCCAAGTGCAATTGATAAAGTTCTTTCGTATGAGTTTAATCTTTTTGAATATACATGTCTGTTGTTTTCACAAACTAAGCGATTTACCTTTTGTGTGGTAATAGCATATTCACCATTAGTAGACAACAGTACCGTTGATGTACTTGACTTTCCGTCTACAACATAACATAGAATTTCAAGATATTGGGTATTTTTATATTAATATTTAATAAAGGTTATATGCAAAATATATGGTACTTAACTACGGTTAAGTAGTAACAATTGTAGTTAAATAAAGTGACATGTGTTATTTGTTTATTGATCCGGTGTAAATACCAGATGTAGGTAAAAAATTTCCGATAAGGAATTTAGTAGCTCTCTATATAATAATACCAGTCTTTAGGTTACGCGAACGTGCGTGCATTCCTTCTTAATGAATACAATTTTTTAAGGAATTATATAAATTTTATGCTTGAGATATTATAAAAGATAAGTTAAAGAAAAAAGTATACTTTTTTTAAAATAATGATCCTTTTTATCTTATTATTCAATAAAAGAAACTTTGCTCTACCGAGTCCAGTAGTTTCCTATACATATGCAGTATTTCTATATTTATAATTTGTAGATGAGTATTTTTATTTTTGAACTCCTGTATTACATATATTATTTGAAACATTGGAGAGAACGAACTCTTATGTATGGTTGCCTATGTATCTTTTCAGGGCAAGAATCAAGTCAAAATGTAGTTCGGACCAACTACTAGGACTATGAGATTTGTATGATTATCATGAATGAGTGATTGTTACTTAAGAAGAAATTGTGCCTACGAATAAGAATTCTTGGGTTAGTGGGTGGAGACTGGTAGCTTTGGACAAGAGGTAGATGGTAGCATAGCGCATGGATCTATTTCAAATGACGGAAGTTAGTGAAAATGTGACATATGATTGAAAAGATGTCACGACCCAAAATTCCAAGCAGTCGTGATGGTGCCTACACATTGTCTAGGCAAGTCGAAACATAACAATAAAGAACTAGAACAACATAGTTTATAGAAATATCACAAGTTCGAAATCTCAATGTAACAAATACCGCTAATACAAGATAAATCCCCCCAAAACTGATAAATACAGAGTCATAAGCTCTACAAAGGAATACAAGTCTGAAACTAAATAATATATTGTCTGAACTTAAACAACAGTAACATAAGAAAAGATAAGTCAAAATTGCAAGCAAGAATACAGCTGTACCTTGCCTCTCGAAGCTCAGACCAACAAGTAAACCTACCACTGATAACTAATCCCCACACCTGGATCTGCACAATTAAGTGCAGAGTGTAGTATGAGTATAATCTGCCCAATATACTCAATAAGTAACGTAACTAACCTCGGCGAGGTAAAATAAGTGAGAACTATAAATGATACTAGATATAACCTGTATAGTTTCATCATTTCTAACAAGTACAGAATAATAATAAAATCAAGTCAAAAAGCATAGAAAGAAGCATCGGTATGTGTATGTGTATAGTTACTCAAATACTCTACCCAGTCAATGTTCATCATATAGAGATGATATGCAATTAATCATGTAATTAACCACGGAAATTGCAAGTAAAGATGAAATGCAAGATCCAAACAAAACACTGGCCAGATTTCCTCAACCTTTCCATATCTGTACCAAACCACTGATCATCTTTCCTTAATATCCGCGTGTATACCATCAAGAGAAAAATATGAGAAGGTGGCCTTAGGGGGATGGATACATATCCACACGCAAGCACGACCAATTCAACGTGCTACTGGCACGGCATGGTCACAGGCTCAATATCATAATCCGCCCAACATGGTCACAAGCATAACAGTACAATCAACCTGGCATGGTCACAGCATAACAACATAATCCGTCCGGCGTGATCACAAACATCCTTTCCAAATCATATCACACAGAAGCAAATATAAAATAATACATGTATATGATGAATGAATAACAGATCTCAAGCTCATGGGCTGGTATAAGTGACATACTAAAGTGTAGGCATGTGCATAGTGTACTATCATAGCTCAAATTGGCAATTTCATCACAAAAATAATAATTATCAAGTTCAATCAGGGAATAAGCCTTTTATATAACCTCAAATATGGGTCAAATAGTTCACAACAATGTTACGGATATGAGAAACATCATAGCTTAAAGCGTAACAATCAATTCTAGGCATATCATAGCCTAAGCACAACCCGAGCATGAATAAATACCCCCTTTGTTAGCACATGAGATCAAACCTCACACATGTGCATACCCATAACACATAGCTATCACAAATAATTCAGGCAACTAGTGCCCCAACCAAGTTTAAATAAGATACTTACCTCAAGCAAGCCAAATTACTCCTCTAACAAGCCCTTTTCGTGTGAATCAGCCTCCGAAAGGCTCGAATCTAGCCAAAATAACGTAATACTATCAATAAAATCCATAGGAAGTGATTCCAAAAGACAAAACTAAGATCTTTAACTCAATTCAAAAAGTTAACCACAGGCCTGCACCTCGGTACCCGATAAAATTTACAAATTCCGAATACCCATTCAATTATGAGTCCATACATACCAAAATCATCCAATTCCAACAACCAATCGACCCTCAAATCCTCAAATCCTCAAATTTCACTCTCCAATAACATAGTCCAAAAAATTTCAAATTCTAACACAGATTCATAAAATTTAGGTGAAATAATCAATGGGTATTTAATATTTATGGACAAAAGTGATTAAAAGTCACTTACCTCTTTAATATAGGTGAAAAACTCTCCAAAAATTGCCCTAGTCTGAACTCCATAATTCCAAAATCAGAGAAAAGCTCAAACCCTTATTTTTATTACACTGCCTAGCGATCCCGCACCTGCACCCCATTTATCCGCTTCTGTGGGACCTCTTCTGTGGTCAAAATGCATATATGCACTCATCACTAAACTCCCGACCTTCCACCCGCTTCTGTGGGTCCGCACCTGCGGAGTCCTTCTGCATCTACGGTGCAAGCTCACCCAGTCGCCTTTTTGCTTCTGCAACCCATAATCCACATCTGTGGACTCGCATGTGTGGTCCTTCTCCACACCTGCAACTTTCACCAGTCTTCCCCACTTCGCATCTGCACATAAAATCACCGCACTTGCGGTGCCACATATGCATCCATACCCATCGCAGGTGCGAAAGCATCAGAAGCCCGAAGCTTCAGCCGACACTCTAAGACCCGAAATGATTTGATAACCATGTGAATCACTCCCGAGGGCCTAGAGGCCCCATCTAAACATACCAACATGTCCTAAAATACGATAATAAATTAGTCTAAGCCTCAAATCACAACTGTCACACCTCCTTTTTCCGCGCCCGCGAGGGTGCGTGGGAGTTTTTCCAATTAAAGGACA